CTGACAGCCCTGAGTTTTAAACCCCAGATTAGTTTAATCTGTTTTGATTTATGAACTTAAAAGAAATTTTGAGGTCTTCTCATGCAAAATGATATATGTATAGTGTACCTTTAAAGCATTGCTTTTTGTATATGGCAATGTGTCACCTGTTTACAAAGCATGTTTTTGAACTTTGCTTGTTTTTAGTAGAGTGGCACAGAAAAGTCGAGCACAACCACTGCTCTTGTCGAGGAAACGCAAAGGTATTTTCCCCAGAAGCTCTCGCACTCTCAAGAGCTTTGGCGATGGGGGGCTGTTCTTTATGTCTACACAGATGAAGCTGCTGGGCGAATGCAGCGGCAGTATAGACTCAGTGAAGAGACTGGAACACAAGCTGAGGGAGGAAGAAGCCAGCTTTCCTGGCTTCGTAAACCTGAACAGCACCGAAACCCAGACAGCTGGTAGGTGGGGTGTTTGGTACAAGAGAGACTGAACTGGAAGATCCCAAAGTACTTTGTTACACCTGAGTTCCACCACGTGCTTAGCTTCCTTCTGCACTGTTCTCTCATGAGTACTCTTCTCCATGTGATGATAATCTCCTGCGCCAGCAGAAGAAGGAGGACAGTGTCTAGAAGATCCCAAAGTACTTTGTTACACCTGAGTTCCACCACGTGCTTAGCTTCCTTCTGCACTGTTCTCTCCTGAGTACTCTTCTCCATGTGATGATAATCTCCTGCGCCAGCAGAAGAAGGAGGACAGTGTCTGGTGGCTTTCCCCCACATTGCACTTATTTCATGCACTGTCTAACATGTGTCATCAGGCGTTCTGTATGTGTGCTCTCACAGTCCCACTGTAGAAAGGGCCAAGGATTGAATAATATTTTTATGCACAGACATGCTGCTTATTACTTCATAGAGCTCTTTACAGTGTGAAATCCTATGTAGCTATATTTTTTTACTTTATCATCATTAGAAATGCAAATAGGAAAAACACAGCTCTTGTACCCATTGAACTGTGATTTCCAGATGACAACAGCAGAAATGCCCTGCAGCATTACCTTGTTTTCTGCTGCCACTTGAAGTGAGCCACCAATGTACATTTAAAGCATTTCCTAAACATCATCTGCAGAGGAAAAAACCCTTACTATTCTGTGCGTGTCCTGCCAGGGGTGATTGACCGATGGGAGCTCATCCAGGCCCAGGCCCTGAGCAAGGAGCTGAGGATGAAGCAGAACCTCCAGAAGTGGCAGCAGTTCAACTCAGACCTGAACAACATCTGGGCCTGGCTGGGGGAGGCGGAGGAGGAGCTGGAGCAGCTGCAGCGTCTGCAGCTCAGCACCGACATCCAGACCATCGAGCTCCAAATCAAAAAGCTCAAGGTAGCTGCCCCTGCCTTTCCCACGGCGGCCAAGCAGAAAGCTGTCACATGTCCTGCCTGTCCAGCTGAAACCTCCAGTTCTGGCTGCTTTACTCTTACTTGGCAGCAGGGAAGGTGCCCAACGAAACTGAAGAATGCCCTCTCATCCCCCAGCCATCGCAAATGCGAGTGTGTCATGACGATGGCTTTGGAGGGCAGAAAGCTGGACCATAGTGTGGAATTATCCACCATGTCAATAATCACATTTAATTGAATAAATTGGTATTTTAGGAAATGACCGATTAAAGTTTCATGCAACATCCAGGCACCTCTAGGACCTATTTATCCTCTTTGTAAGGAAAATACAGGTAGGTTTCACCAGGGCCCTGCAAGTCCGTATCTAGAGCTGGAGAGAAATCCTTTCCGAGATTGTTTCTGCATGAATTTGTGGGAGACCTAAAGAAATCATTCAACCCTCTCAAAATCAGCAAAACTTTTGAAATTGATTACAGTAGTGGCAGAAGTGATATTTTTCCTATAATGAATAAAACAAAACCATACTGTAGGATAATTGTGGTAAAATACCTGACAATTGCATTTGATTTGGGCCTGGGTAAGTTTAGTATACAAGATAAGTATAGTATCCAGCTCTAGATCTTTAATACCCTCCTTAGCCCAGATACTAAAATGCATTAATATGTGGATACTGTTGTAAGCATCCTGTGAGCTGAAAGCTCAGTTTCTTTTTAAAACTCTTTAGGACCTGTTTTTTTTGTGTGGAGAATATCAAGATGTGCTCCTGCTCAGAATGTCGCCACCAGGCTGTCTGGGCGCGGGGATTAAGGGTGCTGCCTTTGTGTTTCTATGGTTTTAGTATATGCTGTTGAGTTGGGGGTGATGTTTTGGTGGTTTGCTTTTGGTCGTTTGTATTGTTTTGCTTTTAAATTTTCAAAGAGAGAAGTGAGTCTCTACAAAGTTGCATCTTTATAGAAAGACCTCCTCACCAGCCCCATGAATCTCAGAACAAAGCACTGGAGATTCAATTTACAGTATCTGCAATATGAAATGCATTTTTATGTAGAGTCCTTAAACGACTCTAGTAAGATAGTGTTGCATTATAAGCACATTTCTTTAAAAGTTGATGAAGTAAATGCTGGCCAGGGTCTGAGACTTCAGCAAGATTAGGGCAGGGAAATAGACTGCATGACAAGAAAAAGCCACCCTCCTCCACAGGCCTTCCTGATCCTTCCTACCTGTGCTTTCTGTGAATCCATTTGTGGAATAATCCAGTATTCTCCACAATATTTCTGTCCTTGTGCTATCTCTGTGGTTGAATTTATACTACAGCATGTTAATAACCTATTGAGAAGTAAAAATTAAGAAAAGTTGGGAAAATGGTGGAACTAGTAAAAAATTATAAGAAAGTATAACCTGGGTAGATGTGACTTCCAGGATCCCTTACCGTAACTTGAGCTGGGGATGTTTAAACAATACCAGATATACTATTAATATACGATTATGTTGCTCAAGTTCTTGGGATTGAGTTTTGGATTTTTTGGAAATGCACAAAAAATGTGGCCTGTGACACAGCAGTGCTTTCAGCCTGTGGTTCACTATGCTTGCAAATGCAGAACTTCTGCAGCTCAGGGCCCCGGAATCTGTTTTCTTAACAAGCTTGCCACTTCATTCTTATGCATGCAAGTTTGAATTGATGTAGTGAACTGGGACTATTACACTAGGAAAAAATAAAAGCGGGTATCCTGCTGCTCAAAATTACTGGAGCCAGGCTTTTGTATTCTTTTGTTATGGTTGAACTTCTGTGCAGAGGGGTGAGTTAATTAGTTCATTGCACAGGGTTATCGTTGCTCCCTGAAAGGCTCCTGTTTACTTTATTTATCCTTTTCCCCATACCGTTTTATTATTCCCATTCCTCAAACCCATGACAGTCTTTCTGAAATATTTAATGGGCATTTTTTGTTCATGTGCATTCTTGAAAAATGTGGATCTTTGTGTGTGTACATTACTTATGCTATTGTGTTCCACATATCATTCTGTTTCTGACTTTTTCGTTCTATGCCATACTTTCTTAACATCCATCCATGTTGTCAAGTGTACATCTATTCCGTTTATTCTAACCCCAGCATAGTTTTCGGTGGTGTGCACCTGCCATCTCTTACCTAGCCATCCTCTTAAGGCCAGTTAAAATAATGCATCTTATTGTTTGAGTGAGACATTTTCAAGAGTCTTAAACTACTTATTTTTAGTGGTTTTTTGTTATTGTCCTTGTTTGATTGTTCTCCTTTCTCTTCTCAGGAGCTTCAGAAAGCTGTGGACCACCGCAAAGCCATCATCCTCTCCATCAATCTCTGCAGTCCTGAGTTCACCCAGGCCGATAGCAAGGAGAGCCGGAACCTGCAGGACCGCTTGTCCCAGATGAATGGGCGCTGGGACCGGGTGTGCTCTTTGCTGGAAGAGTGGCGGTGTCTGCTGCAGGATGCGCTGATGCAGTGTCAGGTGAGAGGGCTTTGGGCAGTGGGGCCAAACATTAACAGTTTAGCTGCATCTGCGATTTGATTTAGCATGGTTGCTTGAGGGATGCCATTGCTCCCCAAAGTCAGTATTTGAATGAGAGATAACTTTATGCCCCCACTTCTCATGCTACTGGAGAATTTTTACATGTGATTAGGTTTCAGACCTCGAGACCCCATCTTCTGTCCCTCTGAGACTATTCCCCAAGTTTATCTCAGTCCTGCCATTTCTTCCTTGATTCATTCATTTGTTTCATTCATTCATTTAACAAGTATTTACTGGGCACATTGGCAGACATTTCTCAAGCATCAAAGTGAGCATTACAAATATTTATTCATGCTAGGATACTTCAAAAGGTTCATGACAAGGTTATCTTTCAGTTCTATTTTTCCACGAACTTTCAGAAGTATCCTCATATATTTATACTATAATTATCTGCTGAGTGTCCACTGTGTGACAGAGATGGTGCTAAGCCATCAGGATACAGCATGGTCTCTACATTTGTTGGAGAGGAGAAAATAAATAAAATGCAAGTAAATAGACAACCAAGATGCTTCCAGATGTGGATGATGAGAGTAACTGATAGGGCTGGCCTGTTAGCTCGGTTGGTTAGAGCACAGTGTTATTATACCAAGGTCAAGGGCTCATATCCCCACAACTGGCCATCCGCCCAAAAAAAAAGTAACTGAGAAAAAAGCCACTTTAGAAAATGGTCAGGGAAGTTCTATGGATCTTTGAGCTGACACTGGAAGGATGTTGCTATGAAGGATGTACAAGAAGTGGACAGTCCCAGAAGCAGGAAAGGGCTTGGTGTCTCTAAGAATAGAAAAGAGACCAGTGTGGCCAGAGTGTGGTCAGCAAGGCAGGGAGTGATAAGAAAAACTGGGGAGGTGGTCAGGAACCAGATCACACGGGGCCTTGTAGGTCCTGGCCAGGAATCTGGAGCATGTTCTAGGCTCCACAGGAAGCCCTTGAAGGGTCCGAAGCCTGCTCTCCAGGGTAATATGTGCCCCAAGAGTAGTAGCTCCTTGAAAGCAAGTTCCCAAGCTATCATCTCACCTCTGCATCCTATCCTAGTGCAGCGCCTTATACACAGGGGATCTTCAGTAACTGTGTGTTAAATAAACGAGTGGATGCATGGATGAAAGAAGGGGGTATAGGTTTCAGCCCAGGCCTTAAAAGATGGAAAGATTTGAATACACAGAGAAGAGAAAGGAGCAGAGTTGCTTTCTTCTCAACAATATATTAGCACTTCCTTTCTTTCAGAAATTAAATATTTTGATGCCAGTTCTCCCTATGTCTACATTTTCTCCCAAGTAATAAATCAGATGCTTTTGGTAAGAACATGAACTCATGGTCTAGTCATGACAACAGCACTGGTGCCTTCCTCAGAAAGGAGTTGNATGAGGGCTTCATGAGGCCTCCACACCCCAGGCTGCAAAACAAAGCCTTGTGATAAGTGACGGTTTGGGAAGAACTGCTCTGTTTTCAGGCCCATGAGTCTATTGTAATGACCAGCCTGTTCTGCCTGGGTAAGTTTAGTATACAAGATAAGTATAGTATCCAGCTCTAGATCTTTAATACCCTCCTTAGCCCAGATACTAAAATGCATTAATATGTGGATACTGTTGTAAGCATCCTGTGAGCTGAAAGCTCAGTTTCTTTTTAAAACTCTTTAGGACCTGTTTTTTTTGTGTGGAGAATATCAAGATGTGCTCCTGCTCAGAATGTCGCCACCAGGCTGTCTGGGCGCGGGGATTAAGGGTGCTGCCTTTGTGTTTCTATGGTTTTAGTATATGCTGTTGAGTTGGGGGTGATGTTTTGGTGGTTTGCTTTTGGTCGTTTGTATTGTTTTGCTTTTAAATTTTCAAAGAGAGAAGTGAGTCTCTACAAAGTTGCATCTTTATAGAAAGACCTCCTCACCAGCCCCATGAATCTCAGAACAAAGCACTGGAGATTCAATTTACAGTATCTGCAATATGAAATGCATTTTTATGTAGAGTCCTTAAACGACTCTAGTAAGATAGTGTTGCATTATAAGCACATTTCTTTAAAAGTTGATGAAGTAAATGCTGGCCAGGGTCTGAGACTTCAGCAAGATTAGGGCAGGGAAATAGACTGCATGACAAGAAAAAGCCACCCTCCTCCACAGGCCTTCCTGATCCTTCCTACCTGTGCTTTCTGTGAATCCATTTGTGGAATAATCCAGTATTCTCCACAATATTTCTGTCCTTGTGCTATCTCTGTGGTTGAATTTATACTACAGCATGTTAATAACCTATTGAGAAGTAAAAATTAAGAAAAGTTGGGAAAATGGTGGAACTAGTAAAAAATTATAAGAAAGTATAACCTGGGTAGATGTGACTTCCAGGATCCCTTACCGTAACTTGAGCTGGGGATGTTTAAACAATACCAGATATACTATTAATATACGATTATGTTGCTCAAGTTCTTGGGATTGAGTTTTGGATTTTTTGGAAATGCACAAAAAATGTGGCCTGTGACACAGCAGTGCTTTCAGCCTGTGGTTCACTATGCTTGCAAATGCAGAACTTCTGCAGCTCAGGGCCCCGGAATCTGTTTTCTTAACAAGCTTGCCACTTCATTCTTATGCATGCAAGTTTGAATTGATGTAGTGAACTGGGACTATTACACTAGGAAAAAATAAAAGCGGGTATCCTGCTGCTCAAAATTACTGGAGCCAGGCTTTTGTATTCTTTTGTTATGGTTGAACTTCTGTGCAGAGGGGTGAGTTAATTAGTTCATTGCACAGGGTTATCGTTGCTCCCTGAAAGGCTCCTGTTTACTTTATTTATCCTTTTCCCCATACCGTTTTATTATTCCCATTCCTCAAACCCATGACAGTCTTTCTGAAATATTTAATGGGCATTTTTTGTTCATGTGCATTCTTGAAAAATGTGGATCTTTGTGTGTGTACATTACTTATGCTATTGTGTTCCACATATCATTCTGTTTCTGACTTTTTCGTTCTATGCCATACTTTCTTAACATCCATCCATGTTGTCAAGTGTACATCTATTCCGTTTATTCTAACCCCAGCATAGTTTTCGGTGGTGTGCACCTGCCATCTCTTACCTAGCCATCCTCTTAAGGCCAGTTAAAATAATGCATCTTATTGTTTGAGTGAGACATTTTCAAGAGTCTTAAACTACTTATTTTTAGTGGTTTTTTGTTATTGTCCTTGTTTGATTGTTCTCCTTTCTCTTCTCAGGAGCTTCAGAAAGCTGTGGACCACCGCAAAGCCATCATCCTCTCCATCAATCTCTGCAGTCCTGAGTTCACCCAGGCCGATAGCAAGGAGAGCCGGAACCTGCAGGACCGCTTGTCCCAGATGAATGGGCGCTGGGACCGGGTGTGCTCTTTGCTGGAAGAGTGGCGGTGTCTGCTGCAGGATGCGCTGATGCAGTGTCAGGTGAGAGGGCTTTGGGCAGTGGGGCCAAACATTAACAGTTTAGCTGCATCTGCGATTTGATTTAGCATGGTTGCTTGAGGGATGCCATTGCTCCCCAAAGTCAGTATTTGAATGAGAGATAACTTTATGCCCCCACTTCTCATGCTACTGGAGAATTTTTACATGTGATTAGGTTTCAGACCTCGAGACCCCATCTTCTGTCCCTCTGAGACTATTCCCCAAGTTTATCTCAGTCCTGCCATTTCTTCCTTGATTCATTCATTTGTTTCATTCATTCATTTAACAAGTATTTACTGGGCACATTGGCAGACATTTCTCAAGCATCAAAGTGAGCATTACAAATATTTATTCATGCTAGGATACTTCAAAAGGTTCATGACAAGGTTATCTTTCAGTTCTATTTTTCCACGAACTTTCAGAAGTATCCTCATATATTTATACTATAATTATCTGCTGAGTGTCCACTGTGTGACAGAGATGGTGCTAAGCCATCAGGATACAGCATGGTCTCTACATTTGTTGGAGAGGAGAAAATAAATAAAATGCAAGTAAATAGACAACCAAGATGCTTCCAGATGTGGATGATGAGAGTAACTGATAGGGCTGGCCTGTTAGCTCGGTTGGTTAGAGCACAGTGTTATTATACCAAGGTCAAGGGCTCATATCCCCACAACTGGCCATCCGCCCAAAAAAAAAGTAACTGAGAAAAAAGCCACTTTAGAAAATGGTCAGGGAAGTTCTATGGATCTTTGAGCTGACACTGGAAGGATGTTGCTATGAAGGATGTACAAGAAGTGGACAGTCCCAGAAGCAGGAAAGGGCTTGGTGTCTCTAAGAATAGAAAAGAGACCAGTGTGGCCAGAGTGTGGTCAGCAAGGCAGGGAGTGATAAGAAAAACTGGGGAGGTGGTCAGGAACCAGATCACACGGGGCCTTGTAGGTCCTGGCCAGGAATCTGGAGCATGTTCTAGGCTCCACAGGAAGCCCTTGAAGGGTCCGAAGCCTGCTCTCCAGGGTAATATGTGCCCCAAGAGTAGTAGCTCCTTGAAAGCAAGTTCCCAAGCTATCATCTCACCTCTGCATCCTATCCTAGTGCAGCGCCTTATACACAGGGGATCTTCAGTAACTGTGTGTTAAATAAACGAGTGGATGCATGGATGAAAGAAGGGGGTATAGGTTTCAGCCCAGGCCTTAAAAGATGGAAAGATTTGAATACACAGAGAAGAGAAAGGAGCAGAGTTGCTTTCTTCTCAACAATATATTAGCACTTCCTTTCTTTCAGAAATTAAATATTTTGATGCCAGTTCTCCCTATGTCTACATTTTCTCCCAAATAATAAATCAGATGCTTTTGGTAAGAACATGAACTCATGGTCTAGTCATGACAACAGCACTGGCGCCTTCCTCAGAAAGGAGTTGTGTATGTGACCTTAAAACCAATGTATGTTTGCCAGTGGTAGCAATCGGAAAGAATGGAAATTTAAGCTGTAAGGGAAAGAAAAACTTAGTATCTTCAGTTATTTTATGCCCCACATGTTATTGGTAGGATTTCCATGAGATGAGCCACGGTTTGCTTCTTATGCTGGAAAACATTGACAGAAGGAAAAATGAAATTGCCCCTATTGATTCTACTCTTGATGCAGACACACTTCAGGACCATCACAAACAGCTCGTGGTAAGATGTGTGAACTCTGGCAGCCTCCAGTTATTTTTTTCAGGGTTGCATTTCATTTACAGAAAATGAATGTAGATGGTAATTTTTTGTTTTTACCTTTTGTGTTATAGTCTCTAATTTACACTTTTTTAACTCAACAGTTTTTAGTCTTTGCGAAGCAAACATGGGCATAGAAGAGCACATCTAGCTAGCTTTCGAATCTGGCTCTAAAGTCATTGCTCAATTGTAAAAATCTTAGATATCCTTAATCTTAATTAGCTTGTGTTTATTAAGGCAGCTTTTTAGTGAATTACGCTCATTTTTAATTTAAACTTTATATGTTACATCTATGTCTCAAAAGTATATTTGGTGACTTAGAGTAAAAGTGCATTAAAATTATTAAAATAGAGACAGTCAAATCTTTTTAAGAGGAATTAAATATACCAGATTAAACATGAACCTTAGCAACAAGTTTTCTGAAAGCTAAGACAGAAATCTGGGAAAAACAATGAGTTAACTTATTTTCATTATCTGATGAAAAGAAAACATACCAGTTCTCAAGGTGCAAGAAACTTTTTTCTAGTACTAAATTCAAAAGGAAATTTACTGTGTAGATTTTTATACAAGGATCTTTAGACAATATAATGTGCAGCTTATTTAAGTGACTTTAGAGAAGACAGGAGGCATATTTGAGCCCCATTAGGAGAAAATGTTTTGCATTTTGTAGCTTTCTGTATTTTTAAAATGTTATGTCTTAACATTTAACACTTTATAAACTAAGCTGCAGAATTGGTAGCTTTTAATTCAATACCATAAAGGGCTTGGAAATCAAAAGGAGGGCTGGCTGGTTAGCTCAGCTGGCTAGAGCACAGCCCTGTAACAAGGTCAAGGGTTCGGTTCCCCTTACCAGCCAGCCACCAAAAACAAAAACAAAAGGAAATAGCTATGCAACCGCAATTCAATACCATAAAGGGCTTGGAAATCAAAAGGAGGGCTGGCTGGTTAGCTCAGCTGGCTAAAGCACAGCCCTGTAACAAGGTCAAGGGTTCGGTTCCCCTTACCAGCCAGCCACCAAAAACAAAAACAAAAGGAAATAGCTATGCAACCGCGTTTTTACTAGACTTTGACTTCTGGCATTAAGTTGTGAATGATTTTTAAAATCATTTTTGTGTTTTAAAATCTTGACTAGCTATCAGAGTATACTAGACATACTTGAGTTTTGCTATATTTAGATGCTAATGTTTTACTTTTAAAAGAACATCTTATGTCTCATTTGCACAATACTTTATACTTTAAGCACTTCCACATACATTGCATTAGTCTGTTTTTTTGTGTTGCTATAATAGAATACCTGAGACTGGTAATTTATAAAGAATAGAGGTTTATTTGGCTTACAATTCTAGGACAGCTGCATCTGATGCGGGTCTCAGGCTGCTTCTATTCATGGTAGAAAACGGCAGGCAGCCACGGGTACAAGCATATCACATGACGAGAGGAAGTGAGAGAGAGAGGAGGTGCCAGGGTCTTTTTAAACAACCAGCTCTTGTGGGAACTGATAGCACGCGAGATCTCACTCACTACCCCCAACCCCCAGGGAGAGCATTAGTCTATTCATGAGGGATCTGCCCCCATGACTAACACAGCTCCCAACACTGCCACACTGGGGATCAGATTTCCACATGAGTTTTGGGTGGACAACCCGTCCAAGCTCTATCATACATTAACCAATTTAAATCCTCCAATTATACTGCTGTGGACCAGGGGTCAAATGAGAAAACTGCTATCAGAGAGGTACAGGAGTCGTATGGGATGTTTTCGGCAGAGGCAGAATTAGCACACAGGTCCCTGGTTCCTCTGCCATGGGCTGCTGCTTCCTTTTGTGTGTGAGCTCCACATTTTGCTGCTCAGGTATAATTGTCCACTAAGTTAAAATGATGTCATGCTACACTTTTGGAACTTTCTTCAATTATCGAAATCCTTAGAAAAATATTTCTTATTATATACATAGCAAATAAGGCATGAGCTATTGGAGTCCCAACTCAAGGTAGCCTCTCTGCAAGACATGTCTTGCCAACTACTGGTGAATGCTGAAGGCACAGACTGTTTAGAAGCCAAAGAAAAAGTCCACGTTATTGGAAATCGGCTCAAACTTCTCTTGAAGGAGGTCAGTCACCATATCAAGGAACTGGAGAAGTTATTAGACATATCAAGCAGTCAGCAGGTAAGCTCTAAACAGATGTTGCTGTGTAGCATTTCTTTCAGGAGACCAAAGAAGCATCATCTTCATCCATTTTAGAAAGACCTCAAATATAGTACTTGTCTGAATGGAGTGTCCACTTTCAGTCACTGCTGTTACAAGTCCTGTCTCAAAATAAAAAAGCAGACTTGCAAACTTTTATAATAGGACACTGCTTGTGATTCTGTTAAATCCAGAAGATCTCTTGTAATTGTTACTAACCCTGTTCCCACCAGCACGGTGGCGTTCTATTTCACCCTACTTGTTTAAGAATTCACACATCTTCAGCTATACAGCCATCATAGGGCAAACCAGTTGCTGCATATGAGTTTGTACTCAACACCTGGAAGGCATGAATTCTCCTTACATATACAGCAATTAATTCATAGAAAATTATCCTCTGCTCATTTTCTTAAAAAATATTTTTTTCTTAAATCTGCTGCATCTTGGTACTTCTGTTGGTTTTGAGAAATGTATTTGCAGGTACAGCAGTGCTCGGTCATATTTCAGACATTCAGTTGTGAAATCATGGTATAAATGCACATTGGCCTTCTGTAATCATGCAAAAAAACATTCTACTTTGAATAGCAGCAGTGCCAGAAATAACACAACTTCCCTGAGACTAAAAGGCAGATTCCTGGTTGACTCTCTTCTGTGTCTGACCCCGGTGAGTTGGCTTCTCACCCGTCTGAGTAGCCTGCCACTGTAAGGCAGACTTCTCACCTCCCAAGCTGACACCACCCTGTACATCGTTCACTAAGAAACAGTAAAGCTGCAGGCGAAATGTAGCAGTAACAAAGCTAGAGCCATATTTTCCAGAAGGGCCACACTTACAGCCAGGAAATCCCAATGCACTAGAAGAATTAGGTCCTGTTCTTCTTGTAGTTGTGTGGTCCCATTTTCCCCAAAGAAATGGTTTAATTTTTGTGGTGTGGGTATAGGGGTGATAGGAATAGGGGGCGCAGGGAATATGCTGTGTATTACAGAGCCTCCATGGCTCTGGGACGTGGAGTTGTTAAAAGAATCGTTTTCCCACGTAGGATTTGTCTTCCTGGTCTTCTGCTGATGATCTGGACACCTCGGGATCTGTGAGTCCCACATCAGGAAGAAGCACCCCAAACAGACAGAGAACGGTAACTTTCCACTGGTCATTTTCACTCAGCCCATGGGAGGGAACACTGGGGAGCGACAGTATTTGTACCTACTGCAGGGTCCACAGGCTCTCCCCCTGCAGAGCAGGAGTCCCCGTAGAAAAGAGGACTGTCACACAGACTACATGGGAGGGAACACTGGGGAGCGACAGTATTTGTACCTACTGCAGGGTCCACAGGCTCTCCTCCTGCAGAGCAGGAGTCCCCGTAGAAAAGAGGACTGTCACACAGACTGGTGCTAATTCCTCAGCCCTGCTGCGTGCCCTCCCAGCATGTACCCCAAGAATGGAAAAGAGCAGTTTTGTGTTTCAAAAGAATCAGGGCTCAACGTGTGGCTGGTATGCAGGGAGAACAATTACTTTTCTTGTACAAATGGCCATTTCTAGAATGGTGCTCATTTGTCCCTTTGGTGGCTCCTTCCTTCAAACCACCACTGCCATGTCCACCTAAAAAAAGTGGGCTGCCACTCACAGGAGTGCGTCAGCCAGCAGTGGACAAAACCGGGGCATCTTATTAGACCACGGAATCGATAAGACGAGAGGAGGTTCTGTTGACTCTTGAGCAGAGACACTCCTGAGTGGTGGTCCTGAAGGGTTATGGCCATTGTGTTGCCCCTAAAGTGGCACCAACTCAGGCTAGACGAGAGGAGGTTCTGTTGACTCTTGAGCAGAGACACTCCTGAGTGGTGGTCCTGAAGGGATATGGCCATTGTGTTGCCCCTAAAGTGGCACCAACTCAGGCCGACTCACCCGCAAGGCCTGTGGTGGGGGCTGCATCACTGGAACACAATGAAGATGGAAAGAGAAACTTGGCCCCTGCTACCCTCTATACCTTGATTTCTCTGTGTAATTAGAAGCTTGTTTTCTGTTTTGTTACCTTTTTGTCCAGCTTTATGATTATATTCATCCCATTTTTCCTTAGTTTTTAGAAGTATTGATTTTATTTGTACTTTTTTGCTGTTATAAACACTTACATTCTATGCCAATAAATGTGTTATCTTTTTCAGGATTTTTTTTTTCCCCTACATTCACTAGTTTCCTATAGATCCTAGTTTAAGAATGTGAAGGAATACTGGCTTTTCGAGTCAAATTTTAGCCCTTATTTAACTTGGGTGTCATCACTGCAGAGAGCAATCTCATATTACCATTGTTATTTTTGATCTACTAATAATTTTAATATTGTTTCGATGTTCTAAAAGATGAAAACAATATGCAAAGTATCTTTGAAATGCATGGTTTGGCATAGTGAATGTTATTTTTATTATAAGTAAATATACAGAGACCCTTGAGGAGGGTAGAGTCATTTGTGTTTCTACCTTGAAAATTGGGGGGAAAATATGTCCACGTGGTGTGGACTCCACAATCACATATTACATTTCTTCAATGACCGATAATATAGATGTCAATTTATTTCACTTGTTCAACAGAAGAAAAGCCAGTTTCCTTAATTCGTGGGTACTGATTGTTTCATTTGATTTATTTTTCCTTTGCTGCCCTTTTAGTTCAATTTTCATCAGTAGCTTGTCTTTATTTGCCTGGACTGAACATTCTTCTTTCTTTACCCCCTGTTCATTGCAAACAGCCACGAGGCAAATGTAGTCTCTCACAGCCTGGACCCTCTGTCAGCAGCCCACATAGCAGGTACCTTATTCTCCTGGTTTCCACAGTGTTCTAGAATCCCAAGAGGATGATGAAAATTGTCCATGACTTAGGTAGGCCTACATCTGGTCTGCCTCTGGGTAGTTGAGAAATGACATGTTTCAGTCCACACTCTTTCCTAATCAATTGGAAGAGACGTTTCTAAAGGAAAGGTACAAGTAAATCTCAGAGCCTAAATTTGTGGATCCCACCAAAATTTTGTTGAACTATCCATAGCCCATCTGGTACTTTTCATCAGACAGTATTCCGTGTGTCCATAGGGATTGGACACACCTGGTAACACAATTGCTGTTTGATTCATGGCAGACTTTTATCATCCTCTTTATTTCTAGATTTTAAAATAAGACAGGTAATAGATCAATGAACTATTTTATCATTCACAGAACCCACAAATCTGAATAAAATGTACTAACATCCCCTGCTTTTTATTTTATTTTCATGTTTTATCCAGATTGTGGGTTTTGGATCCTCAAAATGGCAAGTCCTAATTTGGTGTTCTTCATTGAAAATTTATAAGCACCTTCTCTCTCCTGCCAATCCTAAACTTTCTCTCCAGCCAGCACACTCAGCCCCTCACCTTTCTGACCCTTGGCAAGCTCTGTCCCTGTGGAGCCAAGAGCAGCCAGTGTCCCTGCCCTGCTGCCTCGCAAGAGCGACCCATAGCTGCCACTCTGAGCTTCACGCCCTGCCTCCTACACGCCCTCCTTTCTGCAGTTAGCAGTGCTTGCCTTCTCTGTTGTTGGTGTGATGTCTGTGCTCCTCTGCCCTTCCGCTAATCAGTTCGTGTCCCCCAGACAACTTTTTAAAAATTAAAATGCTGTCCTCGGAGCTGATTTTTCATTCCAGTCCCAAGCAGTTCCCTGTTAAAGTAGTTTGCCCCTCTGGAAACTTATCACCAGTGAGCAGGAATCTAAATTCCTGGAAGGAGGGTGGGGATGAGGAAGTGTAGAACTGTAAACAGCCCTGAGGGGTAGTGTTAGTTTTCCAGCTGTGTGCTGAAAGCACTGGCTATTTTATTTGGTCGCTCCCACCCAGCTAAAGTAAGGCAGAACGTATTTTGGTATGCTTTCTGGTTTTAAGTCTCCCTTTACTATGTTTCTTTTTTCTTTCATTTTGGTTTGGTTTAAAGACAATTTTGTGGGGGTTTTTTTCTATGCATTACAAGATAGCAATCATGAAATACGGAGAAAGACTCACAGGGACTTTTGAAGATAACGGTGGACATCTCTGCAGGTTCTCTGATGTTTTCTTAGCCCCTGCAAGAAAAACAATCACGTACTATAAAAACAGATCATTGTGTTATACAGTCCACCTTATCCCCACAAATTGCTGGTTTGTCATGAACAGAGTTGAAGAATCTCCCCATAGCATTCCTTCGAGGACACCAGAGATGAATTCTTGGGTTGACACAAATGACAGCAATGAGAAGGGAAAAAGCTATGTGTCATTATGCAACAGCAGTAGCCGTCCGTCTTTGGTTCCCAAATATCGCGTTTACCTGCTCCCCCCATTATTTCAGACAGCCACACAGATGGTCTGAACATGTCAAAGGCATCATTTCTTAGGGCAGCCTTTGCTTACACGTGCTTCCTAACAGGGCTTTGTGGCTGGGACACCCACAAGGCCGCCTTTCAGCTCTGCTCTGTCCAGCACTGTCGAAGAACATCTCTCTGAGCATTCAGCGCCGCAGTCACTTTGCTATTCAGGAGGGATTGGAATCCAGATAACCTTCATTTGAATGCAAACTTCATCAAACACTTGCCAGACAGGTTGTGGCTGAACATACTGTTGACTCTTCTGTCAGGTGTGCACCGAACCCCGACAAGGAAGTGCAGAGCCTGTGGGAGCAGATTGAACTTCACTCACAATCTGGGCTGGCTTGGTGTTCCTTTACACAGAGACTTGAGAAGCATGTGTTTGATCTTGCACTGGTCCAGCAAATTTGAAAGGCTACTGCAGGAGTGCAAAGAGTTTAGAATGTTGTCCCCAGCAGTCTGCAGTGGGAAAACTTTAGACATGTGTCCTTTCTGAGACGGGGAAGAGACTGAGTTGGGAGAAACTGGATAGTAGTTTGGAGGGAGTGAAGGGAGGGGTTACTTATATGCTTTTTGTTGTTTAATGTCAAATATTAACAATACCTGCCTCTTACATACGAGGGTATTTCCAAAACTTCATGGAAGGATTTGTATTATCTTTTAATTCCATTTTTCCATGAACTTTTTGAAGTACCCTTGTGTTTTAGTTTAATCTGATGGTGCCAATTCTATGTCTTCATACATAATATTCTAAACTTACATATGGATTGATGCCAGTACTTGCTGAACACCTATGGTGTTTAAGTCCAGGGCCCACAAAATTGGTGCAATATGCCTCCTGCCATTAAAAGATTTGCAACATATCAGAATCTAGAGATTCCCTAAATCAATTACAAGGAGCTCTTCAGCACTTTTAAAATTACAAATAATTGAAAAAAATCTGTGCATACATTCATAGTAACTATATTCATGATTTTTATTTGAGATTAAACATATTTTAGAACGATGCTTTCAAAGCAATGTTTATGATAGCCCAGGTGGTACTTTTTTCTTACATTTGACTTAAAATTTTCATACTCTGTCACCAATAACTCTTCAAAACTCTACGTAGATGAGATGAAGTTGACAAATAGGAGGATTTCACTCCAATTTCCAGCAAGTCAAAGGAACAGTTGCTCTGTAGTCTGCATAGAATGAATTGATGACTTCATTCTAATTGGAATTATAAAATGCAAAATTGCCCTGGAAATCTTTGGTCTCTGGTACCTTCTGCACAGAGAACTAAGAAGGAATGAGAAACAGCAAATGACTGGCCGAAACCCTGAAGAGGAGGGAAAAGAGACCTCATTTTAAAATGTGTTCAAGGTAGTCAAATATATTTAAGCAAGTGCAGCGGCTCTTTTGCATATACACTGGGACCTCACTATAAACACTATTCAGTTTCTTGTGGAATTTGTTTTCAAGTCTTTTCTGCCAGATTCTACTCTGGGGAACTATTTAGTCGAAGCATTCAAAGAGCCTGAGCATAAAGCGGCCTCCCTCCTAAGGCGGCTGGCCACCCATCCCCAAGGACAGCTGTAGAGGAAGGCTCCAACAGGTTTCTCTTTTGCTGTTTTGAGGTAGGCCTTCCCGGTGTTTATGTGAAACAAGTCATGAAGTTTGGGAAATCCATCACATCTTTAGAAGCACTATTAATAAATAAGAAATGTCTCCCTGGGAGAAAAGGCTGGATCCAGCCAACCCCCAGGGTATGAGTCAGCACACTCTAGTATAATTACACAGATTTAAT